GGCCCCCGGCCCCCGCTGGGCCGGGGGGGTCCCCGCTCGGCCCCCGACCGCGTTGCCCACCCCCAGCCACGCTGGCGCCCCCTCCATCGCACCGAGGTGTCCCTGGCACCCGGAGGATGCCGGTGGGACCCCGACTGCCCGCACCACCCACAGCCTCTGGCACTGCAGCCCTGCCCGGCACCGGGCGGTTTTGCAGCCTCGCCGGGCTATCGGAGTAGACTTGCAGCGATCACTCAGAGCCCCGCTGCTGCAAAGCAGAGGGCCCCAGGGTAGCTCTTCGCTCTGGTTTGGTGACCAACACCACTGTGGCGTGCCCACCGGCCTGCGGCCACGGTGAAATGCCCCCGAGAGTCAGCAGAGCCTGCTGAGTGATTTTGTCCTCTGCCGGCTCTGAAGGTCCTCTCAGAAATGGACGAGTTCAAGAACTTGGATAGTGACATCGAAGGTTCGGCAAAGCGATGGAAAAAATTTGTGGAGTCCGAGACGCCTGAGAAGGAAGTGTTTCCAAAGGAGTGGAAGAACAAAACGGCCCTGCAGAAGCTGTGCATGCTGCGGTGCATGAGGCCGGACAGAATGACCTACGCCGTCAGGTAGGTAGGTAGACGGCCTGGCCTCGGGCCGTCCCTGCCGGAACCGCTCCCGCAGCTCCGAACCCAGCCTGGGACCAGCTCCGCTGCGGGAAGTAAACTTCCCATCAACGATGCCAGCCCCTGTCTCGCTCGCAGGCAGCGGCAGCTTTCGTAACAAAAACTTCTGCTCGCGAGGGCATCCCAGACCGAGTCAATTGATCGGCTGGATTCATTCATTCCTCGCTAACGTGTGTAATTTAATTTTTCTTTAGAAACTTTGTGGAAGAAAAGATGGGAAGTAAGTTTGTGGAAGGGAGAAGCGTTGAATTTTCTAAGTCATACGAAGAGAGCAGTCCATCCACTGCAATATTCTTCATTCTCTCTCCTGGAGTTGACCCGCTGAAAGATGTGGAAGCCCTGGGTAAATTGCTATTTCCCCCCTTTCTCAGATGAGCATCATTAGACCTCAATTCATAAAGTCTTTTTTGGTTATTTGTTTCATCAGTAAACACAGGAGCTGCACAACCCCCATTTTTCCTATTACTACTAATAAAAAAGGCATCTTATTCCATGGCTTTTTTTTTTCTCCCCTTCCCAGGAAGAAAGCTGAACTTCACCATCGACAATGGGAAAATCCATAATGTGTCGCTGGGGCAAGGCCAAGAGATTGTCGCAGAAAACGCCCTGGATATGGCCTCTGTGCAAGGGCACTGGGTCATTCTGCAGGTACTTGCAGACTGCTGCATCACGACAGTCCCCAGCGCATCCTGGGGTTTCAGCTCCGTCCACTGCCGTTGTTCACTCCCCGTCTAAGTCCAGCTGCACACGCATCTGCAGCATTCACGAATCACCCCAAATCGCCGCCTCTCCACTCCGAGTCTGTTCTCATTAACGTGTTATTTGTGATTGCTGGTACGCGGTGTCAGCAGCTGCTGCATCCCCCCCTTCCTGGGCCACAAAGAGCCTTGCAGAGGTCGCGTTAGTGCTCGGCCTACTGAGCGCGCTGCATCTGGCCTGATCCTCACTTGCTAGGGAGCTAGGAGCCCCGGAGGGGACCTCGGGGCCGGACAGCCCGCTGGGAGAGCAGCACGTTCAGCTGATGGGAACCGGCATTAAGAATGCACGGCCTCTCTTTTAGTACAGGACTGGTAGGGACTGAGGGGCTGGAGAAGCGTGGCTACACCCTCCGGTTGTCTCACTGAAACCTGTGAAGGCAGCTGGGAGAATACAGGGCCCCTCCGTCTTTGCATCAAGACTTGGAGTCTTGGCTGGGGGAGGAAGGAGAGAGGAGGGAAGAGAGAAACTCCATTCAAATAGTATCATGGCTGATACTATTCTTGTGGTTAGACTGCACAATTATTTCTAGCCTTAAACATCCATTAATCTCAATGCAAAAAAAATCCAGGCAGGAGGAGACTGACCAGACTTTTGGATGGTAAGCTTTAATTGAACTTTAGCCTTTCTATTTGAATAGCTCACCAAAAGCATATATATTTTTTTTTCAGTATACCACACACCATGCCAACGAAACAACAATGATTAATTTGGAAGCACCAGCCTGAGCAATATAAAATAGCGCATGTGCTATCGCAGCAGGCCACACCCAAAAATTAAGGAGGAATATGGAGGACTGAGATTAAAATTTAGAAGCAAAAAAATACAGTGAAGTTTTCTGTTACAGAATATCCACCTGGTTGCAAGGTGGCTGAGCACACTGGATAAAAAGGTCGAGCGATACAGCACTGGCAGCCACGCAGATTACAGGGTCTTTATGAGTGCTGAGCCAGCCCCCAGCCCAGAAGCACACATCATTCCTCAAGGACTGCTAGAAAATGCCATTAAAATCACCAACGAGCCACCAACTGGCATGTACGCCAACCTGCACAAAGCGCTGGACCTCTTTACACAGGTATCCAGACAGCACCAGTCAGCTTTGGCTTTCATCAGCTGGTGCATTTGTTGTGTTACAGAGTTTGCTTCTTTTCATGCATTTTTGTATCAGTGCTTCTAATCTGCACCTTCTGTAGAGCTCTGTGTTTATTGATCGAGTTTCTCTTGGGCCGTTATTGCAGCTGGCAGATGCTACCCTGCAAGCCAGCATGTGCAGAGCCAGTAATTCTCCCGGACAGGCTAAGCACTCCCAATTTGTCATGATGGGCTTTCAGGGAGAAGCAGAACTCCCTGAGGCTTACTAAAATGGGGACCTCCTCCTGAATTGCAAGTATCTCTCACAGAGTTGAAGCTAAAGACTCTACCGCTTGGTGCCCTGAACAACTAGCCTCTAGGGTCAGAGCTGTAAGTGCATGCGCATTCCTAATTTGCTATAAGCAACTGAGCACAGAAATTAACCACCAACTCCTTAAAAATTGTATACTTTTTTTTAATAAATGTTCTTCACTTCTGCCTTGCCATTACCTGTTTTCTTGAACAGATAGATGGACAATGTGACATACACTCTTGCATGCAAAGCCACTCTCATTTTTATTCCCTTACAGGACACTTTGGAGATGTGCAGCAGAGAAATCGAGTTCAAATGCATCTTGTTTGCACTCTGTTACTTCCATGCGGTGGTGGCTGAAAGGCGCAAATTTGGAGCACAGGGATGGAATAGATCTTATCCCTTCAATAATGGTGACCTGACCATATCAATTAACGTACTGTATAATTACCTGGAGGCTAACCCAAAGGTAAGGATACTTACAAAGCAACCGTACATCAGCATGGCCCCTCATCATGACAATCAACATTTTTTTAAAAAATTGATCAGTTTACTGCACATACTCCTCCTTTCAAGGAAACATAGCTTTGCCAGCAAAATTCTTCCCCACCATCTCCCCAGGGAGCTGACTGCAAGCTTTAGCGCGTGAAGAGATGCACAGAGTCCTTAGCACTATGTGGGCTGCATGGAAAGCATGAGGCTTAGGAGTGCCTGCTCTGGCTCAGGCCTGACTCATTCCTCAGGCTTTTCTATTTTGAACATGACCATCCACCTGAAAGACAAGAATGAAGGTGCAATGACTAGGACTGGCAGCTCTACTCATAGGGGACGGTGCTGCTTGCCCATGGCCTTATATACATCCTCGACAGTGACCTGAATAAAGATAGGATGAAAAGGGATTAGAAGCATGAATGGCTGCACCTATACAGGGACAAAATGAAAGCTGTGGGCAAACATAAGAGAAACCATAATAGACAAGGCCTCTGCCTTTTCCCTATCCCCCCGCCTCCCCACCCCCCCACTTGCTTCTGTCATCGTGCTTCAGCAAGTCCTGAATCGGACACATACTGGGCAGGAAAATCTGGGATTAATTGTTTTGCGACCCCCCCATAGTTTTACAGCAACACGTGAAACTGCCTGGCGCTTGCTGCATGGGGCTTTTCGGGCGCCACATAGTCTACAGAAACCTTACAGTGAGCGTCTCCTGATAGGTACCATGGGATGATCTCCGGTACCTCTTTGGTGAAATTATGTATGGTGGACATATCACAGATGACTGGGATCGCCGGTTATGTCGGACTTACCTGACTGAATACATCCGTGTAGAGATGCTGGAAGGTGAAACGTACTTAGCGCCAGGGTTTTTGATCCCTCCCAACTTGGATTACAAGGTAAGGAAGGTCTCTCTCATCTGAGGATGTGGTAATTAACATTATAATTCACTGTGGAAAAACCACTGCTCTGGATTAGTATATGCTAGTCAGAGTTCCCTCGTGCAAACCGCGAGGGAGTGTAGGAAAGAGGTTGTACCTTTTCAGTCCAGTGGCAACGTGCAGAATCACTGGAAAATAATTCCTGTGGCTGGGGTGGTAAGGAAAAAAAACTGAGGTAAGACATGAGTAAAAATACCTTTAATAAACACGATCAGCTAGCTATGAGGCACCATCACTAGAAAAGCTATGAAGTATTTTCAAGACTGAAGCAAAACTAGCTACCCGATGTAAGTACCTGCTAAATTACTGTTAATATCTGTCCTGTGCTTAGGGTTACCATGAATACATTGATGAGAACTTGCCACCAGAGAGCCCGTACCTGTATGGCCTTCACCCCAACGCAGAAATTGGCTTCCTGACTGTCACTTCAGACAAGCTTTTTCGGACAGTTTTAGAAATGCAGCCCAAAGAATCAGATACTGGAGGAGGCTCAGGCGTCTCCCGAGAGGAAAAGGCAAGTAATGCTTCTACTTCTTTAAAGTAAACAGTGAAACTTCAGCAGCTACGAGATGGCTAGCTGGGGAGGATAGACATGGGTCCATAAACACCGGACAAGAGAATATGACCGAGAATTGATTTCTTTCTATGACCTAACTTGATTTCTTCTCCGCATAAGAAGTAGAGCTGTAATTCTAGCATGGTACATAATGCTACAAGTTGTCAACCTAGAGAAGGGGGAAGATTCGTTAGCTCACAGCTCAGGAGAACCACCAGATCATGTCTGCAGTCTCAGCTGTCAATGGGCAGGTGCTCAGCTGGACACTCCTGTCAATAAATTTTTATTTAAGTATATTTGCATTGATTTCTCTGTCACCAGGCTCTGCTTTCCATTTCAGTAACTTTCCCAAACTTTGTTTTTGGCACTATAATTAAACACTAGCAAATATTTCACTATTCTACAGATGCTGAAAATGCAGAAGTGCTACCTTATCCCAGAGGGCTATAGCAAGGGTGGAGAAAGTAATGGAGATGTTTGCCTGCTTCTTTCTTTCCCTTTCCCTGCCCTGTCCGTAAGGTCTCCCCTCTTCCTTGGTCCCACAACAATCTAGATACCAGGCAGGCAGGCAGCTACTCATGCAGATCATAAGACTATCAACTGCTCTCTTCCAGCATCTCGGGGAAACCCGTAAGAGTACAGAGAAAGTGGGACTGAAACGATGCCCAGTCGCTTTCACTGTGTTTACTTGATCTAGACACACAGTACAGTTACAAAAGCAGCAGTGTTCAACATGATTACTCTCAGAGGGGGTCGAGATGTGCCAGTGGCAAAATGTGGCTCACATGCTGCATCTTCAGCCAGATGGCGCAGGCTTAGTAATTTCCATTCATGATGACAACTTCTAAAAATACAGATTAAAAACAACAACAACAACAACCACCACCTTCCTCCTGACTCCTTGGATTTTTCACTTGAATTCCACATCCGCTTTGGCTTTAGTCCCTATCTTCCTGGCTATCAACAGAGCTACAGCTTTTTAAGATCCAAGAGCACTTAGTAAAAGAACAGAATATTAGTAGCAAAGGAGGAAGCACAGGAAAGAAAGGAGGCAGGAAAAAAACCATCTTACTAACTTAACCGTTAACTCACAATATTGTTCCTTAGATAACAGCAGTTTTATGGGGTGTTTTTTTCCAGGTGAAGTCAGTCCTCGATGAGATCATCGAGAAGCTACCAGAGCCATTTAATATAGCAGAGATCATGGCAAAAGCAGTGGACAAGACGCCATATGTTGTGGTTGCCTTCCAGGAATGTGAAAGAATGAACATATTAACCCATGAAATCAGGCGCTCTTTGAAAGAATTAAATTTGGGACTAAAGGTATGTGTTAAGTAGCTGGTTAGAAAGATCCTCTCCCTACCAAGGAATTTCTCATGATCGGAAAATGGCTCCTACTTTACTTTCAAACCTGTATTGTACTTGTGCTTGGTGACCATTGTTCACTCTTGCAACTTCCACCATTCTAGGTACAACCAGATAGCATGAGTCTTGTCCTTTATAGGGGGGTTGAGACCAATTACTTCCATCAGTTCTGCTTTCTTCAGATAAAACTATCCAGCCTTTTCTCTTTTTTAAAGGGAGAGCTAACAATTACATCGGATATGGAAGAGCTGGCGAATGCTCTCTTCTATGACAACGTACCTGAATCCTGGACACATTTTGCCTATCCATCTCTTCTTGGCTTAGGAGCCTGGTATGCAGACTTGCTGCTTCGGATTAGGGTGAGTAGTTTTTTTTTGTTTTTGGTTTTTTTTGGAACGTTAAAGCCTAGGGAGCAAGTGGATGCCATAGAAGACCAGGAACCTGTACCATCAGCGGAGAGAGTGGTTAACTGTTTTATTTTTCAACATTAACCTAAGCAGTATGAAGTACCTGAAATGGCCTGTTACCCCAAGAATGAAAGTTTGAAAAGAAGGGTTCATCATTAGAGTAAATTGCCATTTCAAAAGGACATTAGATCATAACTTTAAATGTCTCAAAAGAAAAGACATATAATAAAGCCATGTATTTAAAGCATAGCTTTGTTAAAAAAATAAATAGCAGTATTTATGGCGATCCAAATTAACAGTTGAAGTTCCATTGCTGCAGCGAGCCTGATACTCATCACAAACTACATCTATCCTAGTCTGCCCAAAGCTTGCGCATTAGGCACAGTGAAACAAGAGCTCTTTGTCACTTCATATTTCAAAGCCACATTCCATTGCCCAAAGATCAGGCTTTGCTCCAAAGCACTTTGCCATTTTATTTTGCAGGAACTCGAAGTCTGGACAACGGACTTTGTGCTACCTGCAACGGTGTGGCTAGCAGGATTCTTTAATCCTCAGTCTTTTCTCACTGCTATCATGCAGTCTATGGCTAGAAAAAATGAATGGCCACTGGACAAGATGTGTCTTTCAGTGGAAGTGACCAAGAAAAACCGTGAGGATATGACAGCTCCACCCAGAGAAGGCTCATATGTACATGGATTATTCATGGAAGGTAAAAGGCTGCATCTTTTATGAGATGTTTCAGGCACAGACAAAGTCTAGTTCAGCCTTAAAATTCTTGCAAATGGAGCAAACACTAATATCCACCAACTTACAAAATTGGGATTTATACAGAATTTGCAAAAGCTCCAAGCAATGAGACCCATTTTCAAACTATTAGACTCCTAATTCATTACTTCTTGTCTTTAGCAAAGTGCTGATTTAAGCTTTTCTCTTCTTTCTGAATTGGTTTGTTTTCATGCAAAAACATGTCTGCTCTGGTATCTCCCTCTCCCCTGGTTTCTTCTTTGCTAAACTCTACATCAGCTACAACCTAAATGAACTGGGAATTCTGAATCTGACAACATACTGTACATTTCAACGGCACCGGACTTCCCCTGCAGCTCAGGGTCTATTTCCTCTGTGCAGATGTTTGGCTGTGCCTTCATTTAAACTGCTACTGTGCTCTGTGTAGCACAAAGACTACTTAACTGCCCAGATCCCACTACAGGCACCATTCAGATTCCCCATCAGGTAGAAGCTGCCTTTATTCCGTACTAGTGTCAGACACACGCCACCTGAGGGCAGCACCCATCCAGTTTACAAGCAGAGTTTTACAAACCAGAAACTGTTTTTTTCGAAATTCAGACTGCAAAATATGAACCTGAGGACTAGGTTGTTGGAAGCTACATGGAACAGTGAACAGACATGCTTTTATTTGGTGTGTGAGTAAGATGAATTAGGAAACTTAAAACCCAAAATAATTGCTGCTAAAAAAATGAGGGGGAATGAGTTACGAGCCCCAGTAGGGTCCAATTAAAGTAAGTAAGAGCAGAGACAACATAGGATAGCTTACTGTAGTTCCCATTGTGGCCAAGTTCTACTTTCAGCTATGCAACTTCCATGCAAATCTGGGCTGGAGGAAAGAGCAGGAGCAGAATTTATTTAGACATCCCACACTTAGTAAGGCAAAATGCATTCATGAGTCACAGTGAGATGATAACATGTTAGCCCTAAAGAGTACTAAGATATGGCTACCCAGCTTTTACACTTCATCCCTCAACTGTACTGCTACGGAACAACTCCTTCCCACCATTTAGTAGTTACTGAAAACAGCCCCCGCCACGTGAAAGCCATTGGGTAGCTGGTACCCTGACAATTTCATAATATTGCAGGCGCTCGATGGGATATCCATTCTGGTGTTATCGCAGATGCTCGGTTGAAGGAGTTGACGCCTATGATGCCAGTCATCTTCATCAGAGCCATCCCTGTGGACCGCATGGACACCAAGAACATCTATGAATGTCCTGTCTATAAGACACGGATGCGAGGTCCCACTTATGTCTGGACCTTTAACCTGAAGACAAAAGAAAAGGCAGCTAAGTGGATTCTTGCTGCTGTTGCTCTACTCTTACAGATTTAGACTTTAATGACTATGGAAAACCAGATGCTTTTACTTGCCAAAAAAAATTAAGTTATGTTACTTAGACCAAGTTTGTTTGTCCCAGAACTATTTAAGCAAAGTATCAATAAAAACAGTGTTGGAACTGCTGATCAGTTGGGGAGTATTCCTACAGTACATGGAGTTTCTCATGACGGATACTGTTTTTCAATTGGTGGTTTATGATAAAGTGCTGGTTAAGAGCCAGACCGCTAAAGGAAGCCAAATGGAACATTTGCATGCAACCATCTGGATTCCTTTCCTTCTGATAGATCTGTAACTCTTCGCAGCTATTTGCTTGATCACTCAGTGCTAATTGTGAGCAGAAATTCATCAAGGCATGTGCACTAAGTATTCCTGCATGGGTACGTTTATCCATTCAGACCAGACAGAAGGAAGAACGGGACAGATTTGGTCCAGCTTACCCACAGGTCAACCTGCACAACCCAGAGAAGCCCTGGGTAACCGGCACCTCTATTTGCGAGAAATGGATGCAAGGTCAGTTTTATGAACCTTGTAGCCCTCACCTTTCTCCCTCAGAGAGGAAGCTTTTTCCTCATCAGTTTCCAGATGAAAGTCAGCTGTGAACAGATAAATCTCCTAAGTATGATTCTTTCCACTTCTAGGTTTAAAATCTACTGTACCCTTTCATTCACAGGGTGGGTTTGGGTTTTCCTTTTTTTTTTTTTTTTCAGTACCAACTACTAGGAAGATCAGAGCTGATCTGGTCACCATATGGAAGCCAATGCCTGTTCCTTTGGCATAAAATAATTCTCCAAAATCCTACCATATCACAAAACATCTGAACAATCAGTTCTAAAACAGGCAATTGCACAATATTGCCCTGACTGCTAGTGGTAGCTTCTGCTAATAATAAATAAATAAAAGAAACACAAGCAGAGGCAAGTAGGAGCCGCTTGTTTCTTTCTAAAGTAGTAACATTTAGAATGAATTGCCATCAGGCCCTATACTTACCTTTAGCCTTTTCAGATACTAGAAATCCCAGTTGTTGGCAATAAAAGATCAAAACATATTACATACCTTCCAACAGTAAAACTCACACGCAGCCAAAACTCGTGCTCTAACACATTTTTACTCAGCCTCCCAACCACCTTATTTGAACAGCCCAGGACGCACATTATAGTTTGGGCTTCCCACTTTCAGCTAGTAGCACATAAAAATCATAGTAGCACCGAGAGTCCCCTAATGCCCTCCCCAAAACTGGTGAGACACTCACATCACAACTCCGCATGAAGCAGCCAGATGTATGACCCCAGAAATGGAGGTCATACTCATGTAAACAAAACCAGTGTGTGAACAGTCAGCATCAAGAGCACACACCTTGGTGCTAACTGAGTGGATAATTTGCACAGCACAGACAAAATTTGAGAGCGAGTCCATGAAGCTCAGAGGGACTCCAGTTCCCGGGCAGCTGAACAGGCAGGCAAACCCAGGGAGCTATATAAAGCAGAAAAGCAAGAACAACTGCCCCTATTAACCAATATTTACAAGGTAAAGCAAAGTACTTTTCTAAATACGTTATCAAGTGATGAGGTATATCCTTCTTACATAGCAAATGCTGTTAAGATTTCCTTGTTGTGTCCATCATGCTCACTTCCCATCACGTATCAGGTAAAAGATGGCAAAACATTTTGAACGCTTTCACAATATTTTCCATCAGCTGGTCAAGATAAAATATACACTGACCCTTTCTACAACATTCTGAAAAGGACATTTCAGAAGTGGAACTTTTATTTCTGTGCATGGGAAATACCCTTATGTTGGTTCTCTTTCATTGTCCTTTCCAGAAATTTTAGTAGACTAAAACCAACACAGATCTCAAGCAATGATTCTAGTTAAAGTGACAGGTTCCCCAGCAGAAAAAAGAAGAGAGATACTTGTTTTCTCCACATCTTTTCCCATCATTTATTTTTTCCACATCACAGAAAAGGGCACTGCACTAATAAAATGCAGTCATCTCTATATAAATTCTTCCCAAAATGACAAAACACTCACCCAAATCAGCATCATTTCTTCTTTCAAAAGAAATTCTTAATCAGAGGTGTTACCAGCTTCACCCACAGCTTCACATAACGATTTGGCTGCTCAAATGTTGATGATGAGACTACACCTGAGCAGAGGTAAAGCTGCTCCTGCTCCTATACAGGGAAAGAAATATCATCCCAGTAAATCCTAAGATCTAAATTCACCTTTTTTCAAATATAATGGCCTTTAAGAAGAAGCAATTCTCAGATAAAACTGGTCATGGGTCCTGCCAGAAGGATGTATCATTTCTCCCACAATTCTGAACATAAAGAGTTTCATTCCATGCAGTGCAACTCATAAAGCAAATAAACCACCAAGGCACTGGTTAGTACGGGATCCATCCTTCAAACCTGCCTACTGCTGTATTCCACCTTTGGATAACTATCACTGCCCTAAGTGAATCCCAAGAATCCAGCAATTTAAACTCTGCAAAGTACAAAGGTGGAAGATTTTGCTTTTTTTCTGCTCTACAGCTATTACAGAGCTAAACTTCAGTTTCAGAAAAATCCTAAATCCCTAGCTGTAATTGCCAGCAAAGGAAACCTTATCTTAATCTCAAGAGACTGGTTTACGCAGCTCTTTCTAGACACAGCTCAAGCGCTCTGTTTTCAAATGAATATGCAGTCATGATTTCAACTAAATTACCAGAAACACTTAGGCTTCTTCAGTATGTACACAATTACTGCTGAAGTAGGAAATGAACCATCATAATGATAATACATGTTCGCATAGCACGTGAAAGCAGCTGTTTGATCAAAGGTAGAAGTGGTTTTCTTAGCAAATCTAGTCAGATTTCTAGCAACACAGGCAAATAAGGAGCAGACCATCTACTGTAAGTCTGTTCTTAAACTTTTCTTCCTCAGCTAAGCTGTCAAAAATAACAGAACATGCTCTGCACTTTTAAAATTCAGGGTGGAACAGGGAAGCAAGCCCTGGAAAGGAACACCAAAAAGATGAACCAAGCCCAGAAGGAAGATATTTGTGTGCCAAAGCGGTCTAATTTCAGAAATCCAAAATGTTTCAAAAGCTACGATCAATACTGCAGTGAAGATTATGCACCATAGTCATCTGATACAGTGACGGTCTCGCTTCCAGACAGGTATCTGGAGTGAAGTTCAGTGATTTTATCAGAATATTCAGTTCATTCAGTTACGTAACCAAAGATATCCAGACCACTGAAAACTTTTCCCAAACCTTATAAGACATTTTTAAAATGGAACTGGACGTCTGGTAGGCAAAGTGATTCCATGGCAATTACAAGTTAAGTATTAAGAAGTGGCTGTTGCACATTTTCTGAAAAACTAAAAGTTCAGTTATTAAGGTCAAAAGCTTAAAAGATCAAAAAGAAATGACAAATAAAAGCTCAGAACATACTCCTGTATGTCATTATTCCTTGTAAACTGAGCCTTGAAAAACTAAATATTTAATTTGTTCACATAGCTGAAAATGACATTTGAGCTAGACTGCTGAATGGAGTTCTAATTTGCATTGAGAAGGAAACACTTTAGAGGCTTTATCACCTTGGCGTAAAATTAAGTCTTCTAAACAAAGATCACAGAATAGTAAACAAACGCAATCTCAAAGTCAGCTTCCAGCAAATGGCAATAGTTTAAAGTCCTTTCATTTAGATCACTGCAGTACTGTTTGACACAATTCCTTGGTCATATTTTCAATGATTCTCCGCTTCCATTACAAACAAGTAGAGGCAAGCTATGAACTGAAATATTCAAGCAACTCTTCCAGTAATAGAATTGTTTTTGATAAGATATGGTCTGACTCATTCAGTGGAAGAGCCCTGATGCAATAGGGCAATTCCCATTGATCTTGAAGACAACTGAGCCTTCTTATGCCAGGACTCAGTTTAACACAATACATTTTTCAGATTCATAATCACAGACATAAGCAGCAAACCAATTTGCTTTGTATCAGAGAACTACATCAGAAATTACTTGGGACAACGTCAATTCCAGGAAAAGATTCAGAGTTAAGACAGCTGGAGAATCAGTCAGGATTTAGAGAAGCAGCAAAAGTGATGAACAGTCCAAATAACAAATAAATGATAAAAACTGATAAACTGGAATGCTGTAACATTAAACCACTGAAAAATACGTGCTGTCAAGATTAGCAGCTACAGCATATAACTTCATGAGGAATCTGACCAGCCCAGAAATCCTCTTACTGTAGAAGTAATATACACTAATATATCCTGCCCCTTGCTCACTGCCATAGCCTACGGGCAAGTCACCAAAAGCTGACGGATTGGCATTTATGTTCCTACAAAGGATTTCCCAAATGCATGAGATACAAAGTGATCCAAAAGTCTAAGATCAGCAATTCAAAGAGTCTGATCTCATTACCACAGAGCTTGGTGCAACCTTGGCAAGGCCCAGATACTGGGGATAAGGCTAAGAATGTGCTATGTGACCGGTAAACCAGAGGATAGTCAGCAGATCCTTTCTGAATGCTGTGTCTCTTTCAGCATCCAACGCCTGAGTACTCCCAATACTTAAGTTCACTGGGGACACATGTTCTTTCCCGTTACGGCCTCCATTTCCCAGAAACAGGCACTTGCAGAAGGCAGCTCATCAATAGTCACTTAACTGACAGCTCCTTGAGACTTCCTATGCTCAAGAAGGTTTTGAATTATTGTAGCTGTAGGTTTTTATTGCAGCTGCATCATCACCATTCCTTATGTGACCAAGAAGCACAACATCCATGTTATCCACCCCCATATCAGCCACTTACCTGATGGAGTTGCTGCTGCAAAGCTTTATTTTCTGTCACTATCGCAACCTGAGCTTCCAGGTCACGATGAACGGATCGATATCCAAAATTAGGAGAGCCAATCAGAGTTAGGCAGGGAAGATTGCTTCCTGCCAGGTATAGCCAGAGGCCTGCAGGAAAAATGGGAGAAGAAAGGAAGTGTGGCAGACAAAGGAAATGACTGGGGTAGCCTCAAACAATTGCTTTTAGTTAGAAGAAATGAATTAAACATGTTAGATTTACAGTAACTATAAACGATCATGACACAAAGCAAGCCGTCAACAACACACTTTCTTGTGGACAATTCAGAATGTCTTGTAAAGCTTAGTATGAACCTTGGGGTACACTTGCACAGCTTTCATTGTCCAAACTTCTGTGCTCTTAACAGGATGGCTGCAGCATGCTCAGGACCACCCTAGGAGACACATTCTTAAGCACGTACACTGCACAGAGGTCCCCAAAAATAATTCAGAATGAGCCATCATCATCATCAAGTTAGAGGTCATTTTGCACCAGGACATCTCAGAAACACTGAAATAAGACAAACAGTTTTGAGGCACTCTGCTTGGTGTAGGTTTTCCTTGATTTGCTGCAACGGAGCACCACACAGATCAGTGAGTACTGAACCAGTCAGTTCCAGAACTGGAAGCAATGTAGTTGCACAGTGACTAACCCCTTTCCCAAGACCGCACAAAACAGTGACATGAGGAGGCATCTCCCTGCTCTGACAGGTGAATTAACATGAACTACATGCTAGTAAGAGAAGTACAAATTATTGCACCCACTCGCTTCCTTCCAAGCCTCCAGAAGATGAATTCAGACTGTTGCTATTTATTAACATAGCCCAACGTAGGGTGCAAGACTCCCAACTCCAGGCACTCCTGCAACTTGCAAGTGCCAGAACTGCCACCTGTGACACAACGCAGGACTGTTTTTCAAGCCCAAGATGGAAACATCCTACTGTTCACAAGCGCATCACTCTAACGTGGTAGGAAAGAACAGCTAGGGATGCCACAGGAGAGCCAAAGCTATAGCTGGGGAGAACCTGTATGGCCATTCTCTGCACCTTCACTGCTCCAGGAATTGTTTGCTCTCTACTTAACAAGGCACAAGCGCTCAGAACAGTGCTGGGCAGGTCCCTAACAGATGGCTTATCCCTACAGCAAGTCACACAAAGACTACAACAAAGAAACTGCAACACAAAAACCACCTAGTCCCTAAAATAGAAGCAGGTTTCCTAACTCAACCCCAAAGCAGTTCCAAGAATGCCTTGAGTAAGAAGCTGCCGATTCACCGCTTGTTCCTGTAACCTCCTCCCCACCCCCACATCACCACAGAGTCAGCAGCTTCTGGGCCACTTTCAGTTACACCTTCTGGCTCACAACTGGCACTGCCCATAAATTAGCCAGATGAAAGACTGTTCCATAGGCTTACCCCCACCCACAGAAGGGCAGGAAT